CAGTGGTGCTTGAGCTTGCAGGGCAGCACCCCCTTGTTGAGCTGGTAGAAGTCGACGAGCTGGATCAGGTCGGAGAACTTGGTGTTCCCGTCGTCCAGGCTGAAGAACACCTGCCCCTCCTCCTCACACTAAGAGAGACAAGACACTCCCAGGTTAGAGCCACGGGGGCCTGGCCGGCACAGGCCCGCTCCCCCTCCCTGCCAGGAAACAGCGCCCCCTCCAGAAAAGCCTCCCGGGACACCCTTTGAGCATCGCCCCCGTGAGCATGGGCATCTGACAGTGACTGCTCTGCAGTCCGGTTAGTTTATAACCTGGAAACCGCATCAAGAATAAAACCAGCAGAGAAGAGGATTAGCAGGATGACATCAATACTCACAGGTAAGATCTGGAAATTTTTGATTTTCTGGTGGTGGCTCAGCGTGAGCACGTAAGCCTTGGGGTTGCTCTGGCTGTCACGGACCAGGAAGAGCCTGGGAAGGGAAGGTGACTGACCGTCAATGTGAAACTCCAGACTCAGTGCGCGCGCGCACACACACACGCACGCACGCACACGCACACACGCTTCCCCGGGAGCCACGGTGCTCGGGGGTCGGCATGCGCTGGCCTCTGGTGCAGCAGCATCCCACATCCAGGCCGGGGACGCTCACATCACTCCCGAGGACCCAGGACTCCCTGGTGCCGAGGGCCCGGCGGCTCAGGGGAAGGGGGTGCGGCTGGAACACTCGGTCTGTGGGGTGAGGAAGCTCAGAGGTGATGGCCAAAGGCAGCCCGGCCAGGTCTGGGCAGAGAGTGAACAGCAGGGATGGACGGACCCAGGTCGGCAGGACCAGGAGTCTTCGATGACGGAAAGGCTCCTCCTCAGAGCAGAAGGCGGGGCCGGACGCCAGCAAGGCCTCGTGGGAAGGCCAGCAGAGCTGCAGGGCGAGCGGCGACCCGGCAGCATCGCAGAGGGAAGGAGCAGCCTCCGTGGGGCGCCCTGGGCCACGTCCCCTCACAGGCCAGGCCCTCCACAGGCGGGGACGTCCACCAGGATGCCCCCGAGAGACCCCGAGGGTGCCTCGGCAGCTCTCCTGTCCCAAACGCGACACCCGACCCACCAGCCCGAGGCACATTCTAGAAGAACTGGATTCTGCTCAGAACCAGGGCCCATGGGAGACAGAGGCAGACTAGGGAGACGTAGCGCCGGTGCAGGGGAGGGTCAGGGTGAGCCCTGATGGCGGGGAGCATGCACCTCGGATGAGGCTGCACCCCGTGAGGCAGTGCGGCCGCTGCTCGGCAGGAGCCCTGCGGGCGGTGGGGGTGCGTGTGTGGGGGCCGCAGCCCCTCCTGGGTGTGTTTCTTGCCCTTCAGGTGTGAGTGGAGGCCACTGCCCGGCCGCCCTGTCCTGTGTTGCCCTGTGGAGCTGACACCAGGGGCAGAGTGTGCCGATCTAGCTCAGGCCCCCACCAGAGGGTGGCAAGGTGGGCCGCTGGCCGGGCCCCAGGGCCAAGGCGAAGGACCTGCACTTTCCTGGCGACACATCCCGGGGAGGCGGACCCCTCAGCTTCCTGAGCACGGGGCAGGGGCACTGTGGCCAGCGGTGCCACCCCGGGAACACTTTGGGGCTCCCTTCGGATGCAGCTCAGGGGGAAACAGGTCATCACAGGTTACCTAAGCTCTGCCTTCCACTGAGCAGTCCATGCTGGGGCCCTGGGAACCCCTCCCCCTCCCCAAAAAAGAAACAGAAACGAAAATGCAAAGCTTATCGGCGAACGGGGCTCAGCGTGAGGCCATCTCCCCCGTGTGCCCGGCCCCGTGGACAGGAAACACCGCTATGGCTTAGGGGTCATCTCCGTGCGTTCAGAGGGACTCTGTGATTCAGTGACAACTGGAGTAAGTAGCTGTGGGGCTACTAAGTAACAGGGAAGGAAAAGAGAAGGGAAGGAGGAGGGAGGAAAGAAACAATACAAGCCCTGGAAGCGACCCGAACGAGTGGGGCAAGCCAAGCTGTGCACGAGGCGGTCAGGACTGTGGGACAGGGGTCAGCAGCGACCGAGGTGACCACGTGAGGAAAACTGTAACCGAGAGCACCCGCAGAAACCCCTCTCCACGCCTTAGCCTCGGCCCTCAGGAAAGGCCTGGCCTTCCCGCTCTCCTGATGTCGGGGAGCCGTGGCGAGGTGCCCACCGCCGAGGAAACCCTGGCAACAGTGCAAGGCGTCCCCTAAGCCTCTGCTGCCTCTCACACGCGGCTTCTAAGAACTCAGCGGCAAAGACAGCAGCAAGAGCAGGAGATGCGTGACGGAGCCTGAGCCTGGAGCCGCGGGAGCGAGCGGACCTCCCTGCCGACAGCTGCACACGCAGCCTCGCGGCCTGGCTTTCCCAGCGGGCGAGGCAGGAGCAGGACAGGCAGCCAAGCACGTTTGCGTGTATTTAAAAAGCGCACCTGGTCCACTCTCTTCAAAAACCAAAGAGGAGCCGAAGCAATGACGCCGGCCATGTGCGAGCTTGGAGGACCCGGGGGGCAGGGGGGCTCTGAGTTCCTAAGGACTGAAGGGACTTGCGCGTCCTCCTGAGTGTGTGTCCGTGTGAATCGCCCCACGTTTACAGGGTAAAGCCCGACGGAGCAGGGCGCGCCGCACCAGTGAGCTAAGGTCCTCACTAGGGCCTCCCAGTGGGGGGTGGGGGGCAGGAGCACCTGAGCAGGGAGGGCCGCAGGCCTCCACCTCCCTCGGCGACAGCCGCACGGCCGGCAGGGTTGAGGGGCAGTACCCACTCTCCGTCTGCGGAAAGCCTGGGGCTTCTCGTGGGAGAGAAACGGGCGTCTTGACTTGTCCCGTTCCCCCGACTTGGGACACTGTGCCCCGGCGCCTCCTGCACCGTCCCGTCCTCCGAGGTCACCGCGCTCAGGGCTGGTCACGGGGCCTGGGCGCCACGGAGGAAGGGGCCCTGCTGACCGGGGACGGCACGTGCAGCGTCAGGAAGAACACGTTTTGGTTGAAATCAATCAAACGTAAGAGTCTAAACTCCCGAGTTAAATAAGAACCTCACTTGTCACAAGCAAGGGTGGCGGAGCGCCACGTCCGCGCTCTGAAGCCTGACAATTAAGTACTCAGCTCCTTTCCCAGGAAAACGAGGACGTGCATGACGAGGGAACGGACTTCACTGAGAAACGAAGGGGTAGTCGGGCCAGAAAAGGACGAGTTTGTTCCCTTAACACAACACTGACGGCGAACAGGCTGAAACCACGTGGTGAATGGGGGTGGGGCCCGGCCAGGGCGGGTCAGGCCCACGGCCCGAGCCCTGCCCCACGCTGAGCGCATGGGAGGACCAGGCCCTGCGGAGGTCGGAGCCTCCTCGTGCCCAGGCCACTCCCAGGAGCCCGAGGCTGCGTGCAGCCGGACTGTCCCCAACCGGCCAGGTGCCCTGCTGCAGCCAGGGCTGGGTGGGGCGAGAGGCCAGGCCGGGTGCCAGTGCCAGGGGCGCCGACCCTCCTGGAGGAGACGTAGAGACACACGGCCAGGTGCATTGTGGACCCTGATCCAAACCAACTGAATGTCAAGGACTTTTTTTTTAAGCAACTGGGAACATGGGAACATGGACAGGGTGTTAGGTAATTTTTTTGTTTGTTGTTTCCTATTTTTATTTAAAAAGTCTTTATTGTTAGGAGTGTTCAGCTGTCCCTTCCGCGACCCCTTCCTTTTACAGCGTAACGGACACTGATGGGTCGGGAGGAAGGGCCCTTAGAGGTGACGACAGCTTCGCCCTGGTTCCCCCTAGGGCAGTGGTTCTCAACCTTCCTGATGCCGCGACCCTTTAATACATACAGTTCCTCATGCTGTGGTGACCCCCAACCATAAAATTATTTTTATTGCTACTTCATAACTGTCATGTTGCTACTGTTATGAATCGTCATGTAAATATCTGATATGCAGGATGTATTTTCATTGTTACAAATTGAACATAATTAACGCATAGTGATTAACCACAAAAACAATATGTAATTATATATGTGTTTTCCGATGGTCTTAGGTGACCCCTGTGAAAGGGTCGTTCGACCCCCAAAGGGGTTGCGACCCACAGGTTGAGAACCGCTGCCCTAGAAGGTCCCAAAGGAGAGGGGGCGGGAGGCAGAAACGAGGGGAAGGAGACAGGCCGAGAGCAGGTTCTGGAGCGGGAGCAGCAGAGGGGGGCACACAGCCCTCCTCCCTCCTAGGTCAGGCTTTGAACTCCCACAGTAAGACTTCCACGGGGAAGGGCAAAGGACTGTGCTTTGGGTTCGGCAGCTTCCCAGACCGAGGCGAGCAGGCCCAGCATGGCCGGTGGGCCAGGAAGCGGCCGGGTGTCTAACTGCCTGGTCAGGGCGGAGCCCCAGCGCGGCTCCTGTGCGGGAGAGGAGTGGCGGCGAGCTCTGCGGGACCCCCGCTGCGGACCCGCTCTGCAGGAGCCGCCCCTCAGTCACAGGGCTGCACCCTGCCCCTGGCCAGTGCCCCCGGGATGCCGAGATGTGGCCAGGCTTAGCCTCGAGGGCCCTGGGAAGGCCACAGCGCGGATGACGCCAGGAGACATGCCCGGTGACCCCGTCGCGATGGCCACTGGCCAGCGCCAGCCACCAGAGGCGCAGGAAGCCAGCCCAGCCCGGAGCTGGCCCAGGCGAGAGAGGCCCCAGGTCGGCTGTGGGCTGGGCCGTGTGCTCTCTGCGACGCTGACGTTGGGCACACGGGTGCCCAGGGCCTGACTGACCAGAGGGACTGGCCTGTGCGCTCCCTTCAGCACAGGCGGGCTCGGCGACAGCACGCGCGGAAATGGCGACCCTCACTGGTGGACAGGCCTCGTGCAGACCACGCCCTGCATGCCCTCGTCTGCTCAGTGCGGACCTCCCTCTGCCCCGCCCAGGAGCGAGGCCTGGACGGCCACGCACCCGCCTGGCACGGCCCTCAGCGCCCGCCCGCGCGCTTACCCGTCCACCAGCCCCTGCTGCTTGATGATGCGGTGCGACTCCTCCCGGGAGATGCGGCCATGGAACCAGTGCTGGCTCTTGTGAATCACTGGGGAGGGAGGGGGAGAAGGAGGGTGGGTCCCGGCCCTGCGGGGCTGCCCGGGCACAGCGGTGTGGGGGGCCCTCCCTGAGGCCCGGGGGCACTCTGGGCGGACAGCGCGTGGAGGGGTGGGAGCCACACAGGCGGAGCCACGTACCGGTGTTGAGGGAGGAGTGGGCCAGGGGGCTCTGGCTGCCCAGGGCGCTCATCCTGGTGCTGCGTCTCTGCAAGGGAAATGCCAAGTCAGCCCGCCCGCGCGCTTACCCGTCCACCAGCCCCTGCTGCTTGATGATGCGGTGCGACTCCTCCCGGGAGATGCGGCCATGGAACCAGTGCTGGCTCTTGTGAATCACTGGGGAGGGAGGGGGAGAAGGAGACCCCTGAGCCTGTCTGCCCACGGAGAACGACGAGCTTGCGGGTCCCAGTGGGTAAAGCAGAGCCAGGAGACCGTGCAGGCGTGCTCCTGATGGTCCCCCTCCTCCCCGACCGAGGCAGGGGCTCCCGTCTGTTTCCCACAGGAGACGTGTGGGCAGTTGGATAAATCTCAGCAGAAACCACAGGCTCCCCCACTCCCTGCTGTGGGACCCTCCCCGCACGCTCCGAGCTCAGGGAGCGCTGTGGAGCCCGAGCTGCAGCTCCTGCTTTGGGCATTGTCTTCAGGCTCAGAGACACGTGGGAGCTGGTGCCGTTCTTCCACCTGGAGAGCAGGAACGTGAAGGATGGTTCGAGGCCACGGAGCTGCTCGGTGGGGGAGCCACGAGGCGTGGGCTCAGTAGCCCGCACACCCAGGCCCTGACCACGCCTCAGCAGGGACCGTCCTGTGTGTGGACCCCGACGCCCTGCTCCTGTCTTGGTCCTTCCTGGGGTGCCCAGGGGACAGGAGGCGGGAAGGGGGTGCTGCAGACCAGTCATCTCGATGCTGCCTCCCTCCCCCACTCCTTACCCCTGGCCAACACCTAAGGGCCACTGTCCTGGAGCAGCGCGAGGCAGGGATCCCGCGGGGAGGGGCTGTCGTACCCTTACCCTCCAGGCGTGTCCTTCCTCCAGGGCTGCACTCTCAGCCTCATCAGGGTTGTCGATCACTCTCCCGGTCTGCCCAGAGAAGTCCATGGCCACGAGGGAGCTCTCGGAGACACTGCGCTGCAGGGGGGGAGGGGGATCTTGAGCCAGAGCACTCGGGGCGCTTGGCACGGAGCAGTCCGAGGCGCCAGGGAGGGCCCGGGACACCCCTCCCCACACTGAGGTGCGGGTGGGAATTCAGGGGCAGACGGATGGGCCCTTCAGCGACAGTGGGTTTGGTCTCTCCTGTGGGCACGTGAGTGCAGGGACACAGGCCCCTCGTGTGGCGTGAGGGACAGAGGCCCTGGGAAGGGACACAGGCCATGAAGACCGCGCACTGGGAGGGCGAGCGTGTCTGCGCCTCTGGGAAGGCGGCGTCCTGAGAACCGGGGCTCCGCTCTACCCTCGCCAGTGAAGGGCCCGGTGGCACGGCCAAGGGCACCCAGGTCTCAGGGCCGGAGGCCAAGGTGAGAGGGCAGCCCTCAGGGAGCCCGGGCCGCTACTGCCCCCCTGCACACT